TTCTCTGTCCCTGCTGAGGAGGGCAGAGGATGGGAGAGACAGAGCAGTACCCACTCTTTGGTGGATACCTGGCACCCATCCAGGGTTGACCCATCACACTACATTAGGTTTTTTCCTTGGGTTTGTTTTTTTTTCTCTTCTTTCTCTTTGTAAAAAGCATGGAAAGTCTCCCCTGCTCTCTGGGCTCAGAATTAATCTCGGTATTTTCTCAGTTAAAACACCAGACAGGGAGGTACCACCCAAAGAAGTCGCCTGCCTTTCTGCTAAAAACATACCCAGGGGAAGTTACTGAAACTGTGCCCTCACCCCGGCATTAATGAAAAGACTAATCTTCTTAAAGTCTCCTCTAGCCTAGCAAGCTCTTAAGAGGCTGGACACATGATTAAAAACAGAAGGAAAGCAGCTGTCTTTTTATCCGTTCTCGATTATTCTGTGGTAGTTGATAGGTGTTGATTTCCTCGGAATGTCATGGTGACGGAGGTTACATTTCCCTGTGTTGTTGGGACTCACTGTTCAGAGAGGGGTTAGTTGAATGCTGCAGTGGGAGCTTTGGAGATGGAAAGAGTGAGTCTTATTTTCTGCAATTTCATCTGATGATGAAGGGCTGTCTTTTCTTTGGAAACACGCAGCTAAAGGCCAAAAAAACAGCTATCCAATATCAGGGCAAGAAAGGCCTCTTTAATTACCTTTTTTCTTGTTTGCTTTTTTTCCCTCTCCTTTCTGTGTACCTCACCAGCTGGTGGCCAGGGGCATTTAAGAACAAGCTTAATTCAAAAGTCAAAAATAACCCCATGCTTTTTCCTGCTGTAACTTAGTGAGTGAAGTCCAATAATTATTGCAGGATTGTTCTTTCACTGCTCTCCCCAGTCCTCATTGCTTCATTTAAAATGTGAGTTACTAAATTATTATTAGTAAATAGGAGATGACTGTGAGTGTTGTGCTTGCATTCTGAGCTAGTTCTGCCTGTGTATGAGCCACAAGGAGTCTGCTTGGAGGTGCCCAGCTCTCCCAGCTGGGTTTCAGGGAAAGTTTACAAATTTGCAGGTTTTATAGGGGCATTTTCTGTTCCTTCTGCCACCCCTACTGACTTGCTTGTCTAATTAAATGGGTGATAAGTGCAAGCAAGAGGGGCAATAAACCGTCCCATCTTGCAGTGGCACTGGCTGTCAGTCACTAGGAACACCTACTGTCCTCCTCTGTAAGTCCAGCTATCTTTTCTTTAAATGTCAGGTTCAGGGAAATTTAACTTCCAGCCCAAGAAATAACCCACACCTGAGAATGGATTGGTCTCTGTGCCCTGGCAATACCTACAGTTGTTATTAATCTGTATGGGCCTCTGTTTCAGCACCTGTAGACAATTAATCTTGCGAGAAAGTAGGAGAAAGAAGGGTTGTTTGGAAAGTATTCCAAGTCGTTATTTTGGTGAATAGAGGGATAAAAGATTAGAGGATATCTCTCACTTCTCTTAAAACAGGCTAAATATTCAAAGTAACAGGCTAAATATTCAAAGTAAATTTCCACACATAGTATTTTTGTTAAATGAAAAGCCAACAAAAAACAAAGAACTGTGACTGTGGATCTCTGGTTTCTGTTCTGCAGGCCTCTCCCATGGCAGCTGTGTGACACAGAGACAGTGCACAATGCAAACAAGCGTCATTCACAGAATCTGGAAGTGTGTTTTAAAGTAGAATCTCAGGCCCATGTATATTCAGCTGGTCATGTGCTTGCATATGTGTAAACTTATTTAGCTAATTCTTTTAGGTCAGAATGATATTTCAGCAGTGAACTGTGCCTTCTGCTACATCCAATACAAATTGCTCTTAAGCTGAACTCTCAGAGCTGAAACAACCATCCTCATGCTAAAAATAGTAATTGGGCTGTTCCCACTAACCAACCACAATTAACTACTCTCATTTTGGAAAATTTTGAGGTTTCAGGTGGCCTGAGCTGTGGTAACATAGTTACTAAAATTCAAACTGTGTGAAAGTCAGGTATTTTAAGTTGTTAGATTTGTGGTTTATTTTTTCCTGTGGACACTAGATTTTAAACCTTGCGTGAGTGATAACCTAAGCACACAAGTGTAACTCACTTCTGGGATCTGAAAGTGCATTTTATTACTGTGCAGGATACAAGTTTTAGTATGATACCCCAAAGTAAAAACATTTATGCTTCTCCCTTAGGGATGCTAGCTGTAAAAAAATCCAGTCTTATTGATGAAAAACTCTCATCCCAACCCATTACTGGAACAGGTCCATTGTCCATTCCTTCCATATACCTCTCCTTCCCTACAGCTCAGTCCCAGGAGTGCTTTGGGCAAGCAGTGCACTCCAAGCAGGATTTCCCTTTCTTCTGCTTTGTGCAGCCTCCCTTTCCAATCAATTTTTGCTGAGCAAATCCTTTATCTGTAGTGCTGCACCTGTGTCTGCTGGTGAGACAGTTTCACGTACTCATTTAGAAACCCTTTCACCAATGTGAACTGTTGTTGCTTTTGTGCATGCTTTTGGTTTCCTTTTAGTTCTAAGGTGTTGCTTTCTGATACAAGGCAAAGGCGACTTGGTTTCAAGGAACAGAACAGCGACTTACTCTTTAGGGTCGCTCGGGCTTATGAAACACACAGACACTAATGTGGTGGACGGTCAAAAAGATTTTATTATCTTTTCTCGTGGGGTTTTATAATCTAGGGTTTTCTACATCATAAGGGATTTGTCTTTTACTATCTATGGTTAGTAAGGGGTGGAAATTTACTGGGTAGGGATGGAAAGTATTGGCATTTGGTTTAGGGGGTTGTATTTTTTTGAATTTTTTTATTTAAGGGAACAGGGGCCCTGTCTTCCCGTAACATCGCGAGATCTTCTGAACGCCTGACCCTATCTACCACATCAAGGATTTTGACGAACGTAGATGGGATCTGATTTTTTGAGGCTCTGATCCAGTATCACTCCACTTGAAGCTCTGCAGGGTAGATGGGCAGTGAGTACTTCTGAAAGCCAGGCTGCTTCTCTTTTTATTTGTCTGTAGAAAGAACTGATTGTAACTTCTGGAATGTTATTACTTTTATGAGCTGTTGTCTCTTTACCTGCCTTGACTTTGAATCTCCTGATTTCTGAGCAACTATATCTAAAAAGCCTGTATGGAAAAAAAAAATCCACAAAGGAACATGTACCTGTTTTAGAAGTTCCTGAAAACCTGAAAATGTTTAATTAAAATTCATGGCACTTCCACCAGCACCAATTTCTCTGTCTATTTGCATCTGTAGCATAATAAAATTTAAAACTGTCTCATATAGTTTTGTATACATTTCCTATGCCATTTGATCACATGCACGGAAAAATTACAGTAGTAACTTCTCTCTCCTCTTTGAGTATTTGGAAAAGGGAACCCAAACATAAACATATTCCATTTACACCAGCATACCTGAGATGTAATTATATTTACAAATGCAAAGTGGTACCCTTCAAAGTGCCTAAATAGCCTATAGATTTTGAAGTACATTCTTTAGTTGTTCAGCAGTGAAAGTAGGCTGTTTATCAACTAGAAGTTGCTATCTGACAGCTGCTAATGTAACTCACCTGAGTTTACTTATAAAATAATCTAGGTACTTTGGTTATGAGTTGACAATTAAAAAAAAGAAGAGGGGAAGAGGCGTTAGAGTGTGAAGTTTGAAAGCATAGAATCACAGAATGATTTGGGTTGGAAGGGTGCCAAATAAGGTGCCTTCAAGCTCTGGCCATTGTTGTTTAGATGGATGGTACCTCTCATTTTTTAAAAGCAAGATCGATTAATCTTGTCAAATGATGGATTTAACTTAAAATCTGTTTTATAAAGCCTGCCATGCTCTTTTTTGTCTGTAAAAATCCCAACAGTGATCCACCAAGTCATTTTGTCTTTCTAAGAGACAGAAGCACAGAAATTCCACAGGGACTATTGAATTGAAAAAACGCAGTTCTCAATAAGGAGAGAAAAAATGTATTTCTCAAAAATGACCTCTAGGACTGTTTTCATAATCAAGTCCCTGACTATGTCATGTCCAACAGACCAGAAATTTAAAAGACATTATCAGAGGTACATGTATCTCAAGCAGTTAGGTACTCCAGTATTTGTTGTATACCAAAGCCCAGTGTTTACAGGTCACTGTTATTTGTGGGGCTTCCACTTAACCCTCCAGCAGGGGACTGAGCCCACATATCTTGTCTCCTTGAATGCTGAAATTGTTGGAGTCCTCAGTAAAATCGTGGTTTTTGTGGAGGTACAAGGACACTCCTTGTGCTGTTGGATCAGACTTGTCAGAGAATATCTCAGGATGAGGTGAGACAGAATGACTTTTTGGGATGCTGAGGGAGCTTTTGCATGAGATGGACCTTAAGCTGGTCAGCAGTGCCAGGCCTCAGACAGTTAAGCTTGTACCAGCCCCAAAAGTGTGCAGTCTGGCCCTGGAAATGCAGCCAGAGGGGTGTTCAGCCACCTGTAAGGTGCAGGAGGGCTTTTGTGAATGACAGTGGGACCAAGGGATGGACACAATATCCATCAACAGTTGAGGGTAGGGATGCTTCCTTCTCCTTGTGCACTGAAAACTCAGCTCTTCAAGGTGTCTTACTATTATATTTTGATTTAGGAATGTAGAAGAATGAGGTTAATGCATTTATGCAACATTCATGGTGAAAATATTTTAAGACAACCTTCTCTGTGTAACTATCTTGACTCTTCCCAGCTCCTTCAGTTAGAGTCCGCACCAGCATGAATGCAATTTCCATGCATTGTTTCAGTCTGGAAATGAAACAATTTTCATTAATGGAAACCTGGTTCTCAAGCAGAACAATTAGACCCACTTCAGGTTGAAAAAAGATAAAAGCATGCTAATTTGGATGAAGGACTCTTCTTTCAAGGCAGCCAATTGAGTCATCAGCCAGCCACCCACCTGACTGTCTAACAGGTAATTAGGAGATAGTCCTCTTTTTAGTGTAGAGCGTGTGCGTAAACCTCCACACAGTGGTGTCACTGCCCATTGGGACTTCCAGGGGAAATAGCTAGGCAGTGGCAAAAGAGTGAGAAGAGCACGTTTGTCGGGCGGTACCCAATGAACTGACTTCTTTTTTTATTTAGCTTATTATTTTTGTCTTTTCAGCAGCTACCTGAAGTTTCTGGCAGAAAAGCCATCATGGCAGACCTGGGCTGCAAAAAGCCCAGCGACTGCACTGTCTCCAGGCTCCTCAGCGTAGTGGAGAGTGAACTCCGGGCTGGAAGAGACAAAGGCGACCCCACGGAGAAACAGCTCCAGGTTGTCTTGGAGGATGCGACGCTATGGCAGAGATTCAGGGAAGTCACTAATGAGATGATCGTGACCAAGAATGGCAGGTAAGTGATCTGCTCAGCACTGCGGGCTCAGTGGAGGTGACAGCCAGGGGGGTTAAGCTCTACAATAATAAACTGTGTGTGCAGACTCGACAGAACTGCAATGAGCACACCAGAGTTTATAGGGGACTGCAGCCTTGCAGTCTCCTAAAACCACTGTATGAACAAGATGGGGTGACCCTGCTTCTTTTTGGTCACTGCCAAACCATTCTTCCTATGAAGCATGCTGGAAAAATATATAGGTTAACTTGTGATTGCAGAAAAAGGAAACTTTTCCAAGGGAATATCTCTCAAAACCTTTGTAATGACTTTTTATGCTAATAATCATCAGTCTATATTAGCAAGTTCTCACCTGTAGGCTTCAAATTACTGCACAGAAGCTGATTGGTGTTGTTAGACCCAGCTGCAGTTCTCATCCCTCTGGCCTTGAGTATTAACAGCTTATACAAGCAGTCTGTACCAGAGTGGATGCAATAAAACTGCCCTACGTGCTCTATATGTATGTGCAGTCTGAATTGCATGGTCCCAGAGTTGTTGCTGGTGCCCTTAGAAACAAGTGTGGAATATTGTTTAATATACACTGTTTTAGAAGGACAAAGCATTGTGGTATAAATAGATCACATGTCTTACTATTTGGGGAACACAGAAAGGCACAGGAAAAGAGTAAAAAATCTGGTGAGAAGGATGCTAATTTTGAAACAGGCACTAGCTTGAAGAAAGCTCTCCACAGAGGTTCTGCTCTGAACTGGGCTGACAGCAGAGTCTAGCCCATAACAGACAAGCAGCTACCAGAATTAGATTTGCACAGTGGTACTAAGGTTTTTATTATTTTATCCTCGCCAGCCTTTTGCTGCCCCCCCCACCCCAGCTGTTCCCTCAACATGCACATGTTTTATGAGACCTCTCAGGAGATCCACCTAGGAGAGAGGAATTAAAAAATGGAGAGAATGATTTACTCATGTGGTGTAATTTTGCAGACTTTGACTTAGCAGAATTTGTGGAAGAAATTACTGTTGACTGTAACTTGATGAGGGACATAGGTGAAAGCAGTAAAAATGAAAAATCTTGTCTGTTGACTCAGCAAGGTGATTCTGCAGAGAGAAGTTACCATCTCAAAGGACGAGCTCTTGGTGTAAGGGCACTATTGCCATTCTGATTCCTCCTAATAACCTATACTGATAGACATCTGCTGCTGAGATTCTTTTTATACTGTGAAGCTGATTTTACTTCATTTAAATTGCTTTGAAAACAGCTGTTAGGTTACAGATGGCTTCTAAGTGGACTTTCACTTGGTGTACAGTAGCTTAAACTGTCTCCTTAACAGTGTAAGTGACTAAAAATGAGGTAAGATGGGTTTGTTTCCGATTAATTAAATTGGTACAAAGAGTCACATGTTACCAACAGGGTTTTTTCAGTTTCTTTCCTTGCAGCTAATGAAAATTATGACTTCACAGTGATACTAGTTCTTTCTGAAATGTCAGGGTGAGTGTGTAGATAAAATATTTTTATAATGTTGGTAAGGGAATATTTTGTTATCTGAATATGCCTGAGTACTTTTTATTTCATTGTGTAAGCTGCCTGATTTTTTAATTTTAACTTATACACTCCTTATCAGCCTGATTCTACTTTTCCTATAGTCAGTGACATCTCTAGAAATGTCAGTGAGAGCAGCAATTGAATTCTTTATGATCAAACTACAGCAAAATTAAAAATTACAAAAGTAAGTCACACTGTCATTTGCATTAATCCTTTTAACATAGTTACTGTAGCAGAGACTATGAAAAAGGATCTCTGCATTTCTGAAAGTATTTTTCATCCAAAAACACAGCATCACACTAAAACAAAGAAAATACAGACTGTGGCCTGTAGCAAAGAACTCTGAACCATGCTATTCAAACGGATACCAACTTGAGACAATTGCCTGTGATTGCTGAGTTTTTCTCAGGTTCAGGATTCTTCAGTGATTTTCTCCAGAGAGATTCTCAGTAGAAAAAATATTGATCTTATTCTGCTGCTGCTAAATCAGTACAACTAAACCATTCTTGCTGAAGGGTAGATGAATGCTTTTGAAAACTGTGTTCTACAATGAAAGAGAAGAGTCAGCCTGAACTTTTGTGTGTGAAAATGAAAACAGTTGGTGTGGACAGACACATTGTCAGCAAAGCTCCGAAATTAAACAGAAACTCAATATGGGAGTGTACCAGAGAATGAAAGTCTAATTGATTAGTGATCCTCAAGTGTCAAATTCTAGCATGCACAATTCTATCTGCTCTGAGTCATCTCTAATTGGTACCGAGGGTCCCAAAATGTCACAGTAAGATGAACCAACTTCAGTGTTAATATACAGATATGCCTCTGTGGCTGCATCATACTTCATTATAATAATCACCTGCCCTAGTGATATGCCTAGGGGAAATAGATATATTCTGAACAGGATAGATATCACTAAAATTGAAACATGCGCTATATCACAAAATGCATCTCAATGGGTACAGCTGATACAGTGGGAAACCATCTTCTGTTTTACTCAGATCTATTGTATTAAATTGACACTTCAATATTAAATACAGCGTTATCTGACTCAATAGGTTTCCTCTCTCAGTGTTTATACCATACTAGCTGGGCAGTATCCTGAGAGTTTGCAATCCCTGTTATTGCCTGGAGACAGGTAGATGCCACTATTCCCCTCTGCGTATGGGGAGAATCCATAGGGGATCAGTGCAGGCAGCCATGAGTGGGGGAAAACAAGGAAAAGAAGCCCTTTCCAGGTTTGAATGCTAAAGCAACTTTACTGGTTACTGCACATCCAAGTCTGATATCAAACATCTTCCCACTCAAGGTCTGTACTGTGGAGAAATTGCAGCAGATTTGCTCTAAATAAATTGAAGAAGCTGAAGTGCTTGGCTATTGCAGAAATGGAGGTCACTTGTGCACCTACCTGATCATTGAAACAAACACTCTGACTGAAACAAATTTGGAGAAATCACAATTTGCCATGCTAAAAGACAGATTTTAACAGTAAAGCCACTTAATCCGCAGAACATGTTAGGCGGTAAGTTTTCCATTGTTAGAGTCTGTACAGTCAAAACATGCTGGTCCAAGTGAGGCAGGGAACTACAGGGAAGTAGTTCCCACTAATCTTAGTGCTACAGGAGGTTAAAATGAATGGTAACAGTACTCTCTTCTGGATTGGTCTATAGGTCCTTTGGGGATAAACTTGAGCCTCTCAAATAAAAAGGCAGAGCAGCCTGCCTGCATTGTGGGCAGAGGAATTAACAATCTGCATGTAACACAAACAGCTCTGCATAATCTAGTGAAATTAAATTTTCATGTGGATTTATTTTCTCCCCTAATTCAATTTCAGCTATGTATCTAAATATGTTCCTTTGAACATTGACTGGGGGAGATCTAAGCGTTGGAAGGAGAAATGTATCCATACTTTTTATCACATCCCAGTTTGATAGCTGGTACATCCTGGTCAGAAAGACAGGTGTAGTGTGTAAATCCTTGACTAGGCTTCTATTTAATTAGGAAGGTTGTGGTTCATAGTACCTTGGAGACCAGTGAGGAGTGCCGTTCCTCAGGGGTCAGTACTGGGACTAAAGTTTTTCATTACCTTTGTTGGTGACAGGGGCACACCCTTAGCAAGCTTGCCAGCAGTGCCTAGCTGCGTGCTCTGGTTGACATGTGGAGGGAAGGGTTGTCATCCACAGGGATCTGGACAGGCTTGAGAGCATGGCCTGCACAAACTCCATGAAGTGAACTTTGTGGTTCTGCATTGAAATGTAGGCTGGGTGGAGAATAGGTTCAGAGCAGCCCTGAGGACAAGGACTCAGGAGTGTTGGTGGACCAGAAGCACAACATGACCCAGCAATGTGTACTAACAGCCCAGAAGGCCAAACGAATCCTGGGCTGCATCTAAAGCATCATGGCCAGCAGGGCAAGGGAGGGGATTCTCACCCTCTGTTTCACCCTTGTAAGAACCCACCTGGGGTGCTGCATCCTGCTCTGAGGTCTCCAGTACAGGAAGGACATGGACCTCTTGGAGCAAGTCTGGAGGAAAGAACCTCTCCTATGAGGAAAAGCTTAGGTAGCCGAGGTTGTTCAGCCTGGAGAGGAGAGAGACCTTATAGCAGCCTCCCAGTACCTAAAGGGGGCTGCAAGAGAGCTGTAGAGGGACTTTTAATAAGGACAGGCAGTGATACAAGGGGTGGTGAGGCACTGGAAAGGGCTGCCCCAAGAAGCTGTGGATGCCTCATCCCTGGAGATGGCTCAAGGCCAGATTGAATGAGGCTCAGAGCAACCTGGTCTAGTGGAAGGTGTTGGGGACACCAATCCAGGGACTGGGACAAGATGATCTTTAAGGTCCCTTCCAACCCAAACCATTCTATGATATCTTCTTCAATACTGCACTGACATGGTATCAGCAAGTATTAATATTAGACGAAAAATCTCAAATTTCTCCAATTCTGTCTTTTCCTGTCAGCAGAAGGTGCTGAATGCATGCAGCAAAAACTATATCAAGGTATCCAGAAAGGTGAGTGGGATGTCATGATTGTAAGCAATTTGCATTTGTGTGTCACTAGATAGTATGACTGCAGGGGCAGAGATTTCCAGTGTCCTTTAAGACAGCCTGGAGTTTCAGCTCCCTTCTTACATATTTTGGATGTCTTATATGGCTACCTAAGCCTCGAGAGCTACCTTACCTTAGCCCCATAGCTATGGACCTCAGGCCATTCCTCTCTCTATATCCATAGAGAAAAGGAACCTAGAGATTCATTGGCTTTCATTGGAATTTATGGTCCATAAAAACGTGGCATGCAGAAACAGGCAGTTGCCAGGTGAGGTTGGTCTGGAGATGTCTGGGGCAGGGAGGCCGGTTACTCATGGAAGAGGAATGTAGGACGTGATACGTAATAACAATTACCTGTATTCTTTGACAAGCTAAGAAGCTTAATGAAAAGGATACCTTTTCTGGGATACACCTGTTCTGATGTCTACACATTATTCCCAGTTCCTCCAAGTGTTGGAGCCCTACTAGCTCTATTGCTGCAGACTTTCAGGTGCCAATCCAGAGCTGTGTGAGATCGATCACAAGCACTGGGACAGCTTAGAAAACCACTGAAAGTCAAGCTGTGAGCTCCTGCAAATCTCCTTTACAAAATAAAGAAATAATAATAAAAGGGGATTGAGAAAAGGTGGCATTGGACCTTTAGGCACAAAAGGAGTATTTTCCCAAAACTAAACAAAGGCAGGATTTCAGTTTTAAACACACGAGACAATAATGGAAGGCTGGGTAGAAGTTAAGAGCTTGTGTGTAAGATGAAACTAAAAGCAATAGGACATGGTCAAGCTGCTGAGGTCAGGGAATATGGAAGTATGGGACCAAATTACTGGAGAAACTGCCAAGTACAAGGTCTGATGGCAAGGGTAGATTGAAGGAAGGGAGGACGGGTTTTTTTATACTGAGCTAGTCAGTGAGCATCTGGAAACAAACATACTGAGGAGAGTCTTTCGACAGTAGTTTCCAGTGGTGTCACCCTTTTTTGTTTCCCTGGCCAGGCGGATGTTCCCTGTTTTGAAGATCAGTGTGTCAGGCTTGGATCCAAATGCCATGTATTCCTTCCTGCTGGACTTTGCTCCGACTGATGGCCACCGCTGGAAGTATGTCAATGGAGAATGGGTGCCAGCTGGGAAACCAGAGCCACCGAACCACAGCTGTGTCTACATCCACCCAGACTCTCCCAACTTTGGGGCTCATTGGATGAAAGCTGCCATTTCCTTCAGCAAAGTCAAACTTACCAACAAGCTCAATGGGAGTGGGCAGGTATGGCCTGATGTTTCCACACCACCTCTTGGCTTCAATTGCAAGCACCTACCAATCAAGAAATATCAAGGATCCATTTATGTAATTATAGAAGCCCTTACAGGCCTCTTCACCCACAGATGCCAATTATTCTCTGGAGGCCAAATGTAAACAGGGATAAACAGGCCTTAATTGGCACTTTCAGATTCTAATGGACTTCTTGATGTTAAGGGAGACAGAGTGCTGTGGTTTACTTAATCGTCAGGGGTCTTTTCAGAGTTGGTCTCGTGTGCTGTGGATTTTTACATAGGACTTCAGAGAAAGGGGGGAAAAATGGCCATGGGTATTAGGTTTTTATTGTGCTCCCCAATGTTGTTTGGTGTAAGTGGAATGTTGGCAGGAGTCAGATGGCAGAATAAAAGGCTGCTCCTAAATGAAATAATTACTGTGTCTGCTTCTGCATCATGATAATTATCAATATTCTATTAAATCAGCTTTGGCCTTTGGAAAGAAACCACATGTACCAGAAATAAGTGACTTTCTCTTTGAACTGCTTAAAAATGCAAACAGGAAAATTAGTTTTGTTTCATATTTTATTTTTGATGATGCATCTAAAGGCAAAATGTTGCACAAGACCTTTTGTTCGCTTGTTTGTTTGGTACAAAACGCCTACGGTGGATGATACTTGTCAGCCCAGAATCAACTTCTTTAATGTAAATGTTATATGCTCTCAATCTATTATTTCCATTAGGTTTATGAGGTACCTCTGTAAGCTTAGTGCTCTAATGAGGTAGGAAATTATCTCAGGTTTTACTGGTTGGAGAACAGGAAGATGATCTGACTTTTCCTTAGTCATATATGGAACCAGCACACAAGAATTACTGTAGAGCATAGAACAGGATTTGAATTTGCAAATGCTTGTCGTGTGTCCAGGATTTCAGAAAAGTCAAAAGCCTCAGAAAAATATGCATGGGGGGAAAAAAGCTACAGGAAACCTGGGGGGTCAAAGAGTCCCTGGGGAAAAAACAGGAGAACACTCTGTATATATATGAAGGAGAGGAAAATAATAGAAAGCAGGAGAGGAAAACCGTATGAGAAACAGAACCCAAACAAAAGTTACTAAACAATAATTGACTGAAACTTCCTTTGCTTTCTTTTGAAATCATGACCACAGTATTAAAGTAAACCATGTCCCCACTCTGTGCTTCAGCTACCCCTTCTCTGATGGTTTAGAAAGTAATTGGTGACTATCTGTGCTTTATGCTAATAGCTGTGTTCTTTCTTATATATATATATATGTATATATATATGTGTATATATATATATGTATATATATATGTATATATATATATATATGTATATATATATATGTATGTATGTACACATCACTGTGAAAAGTACAAATTTAAAAAAATAATCTTGTTCTTGCACTAGAGCCAATTAAAGGACTTCCTGGAATCAATGCTATTCACACCTTTTAGTGCCAGGTTAGATGACCTGCCAAGGCCTGTTTGGATACACTTCATCTTGCCCAGAGAGAAGACTGGGTGACTGCCTCAGCTTCCTGCTGGCACCTTTTCTGTGATGGTGATTCTGGTCTTCCAGACTGCAGAAGCAGGATTGGGAGTGCCCCTGAGCTGTTTCAGCAGCCTCTAGTGCAGTGGGAGCCCAGTGGTTTGAGGGCCATAGCTGCTAACACAAATACTCACTGCTGCTGCTGCTGCATCCAAAGCCTTAAATGCAGTCCAGTGAAGTCTCATTCTGTTCGGCCTGTAGTTATTGCAGGGCAGGTAGGCACCTGCCCTTCTGCTTTAGGAGTTGCTGGCTGGGGAGGTTCAGCAGCAACGGCTGCCTTGTCACAGAGCCAGAGGTTGGCTGTGAGGTGCCAGAGTGACACTGGGGGCTGTCTCTCTGTTTTGTTTCCTGCAGATAATGTTGAACTCCCTGCACAAATACGAGCCCCAGGTGCACATTGTTCGTGTAGGAGGCCCCCACCGGATGGTGATGAACTGCTCCTTCCCTGAGACGCAGTTCATAGCGGTGACTGCCTACCAGAATGAAGAGGTAGGCAGTGCCACACTGTGCACCACTGAGGACATCTGTTAGAAGCTAATTAACTACAAGATCAGCATGCCTTTTTCTTGTTTCCCCAACAGTCCCATGCAGTGTAATACTCCATCCACTCTAATACTCTGTCTTTTCTCTGCAGTAGAACGTTGACTAATCTAGTGTCTGGCTTCAGTAATAAGCCAGGTTTAGCTTAATATCCTGCCACAGCTATTCCAGACTGGTCTATCTGTCCTGGCATCTCAATCCTTTACTCGAAATAAATGCCAAACAACCTAAAATATCTTTCTCCAGCAATAACCGATAGTCATAATGATAACCCTATCTCTCCATGTCCCTATAATACATACAACTGCAGAACAACACAATACTGCATGGGAAAATTTCTGCCCTTGAGGGATACTTTGGACTGTAAGAATTGCTAACTCCTGTGCCACATCCCTTAGCTAATGTTGCTGCAGATTTTATTCATACTTGATAGGAATTCAAGAGTGTGTAAACCCTCTTGAAAGGGTCCACCATTCCACCACATTTACCAGACAAGCTCATGCCAGGCTGCCCCAGCTGGTGTTTTGCCTGTGGCACTGATCAGTGCACAGCAAAGCTGTCTCCTACCCAGCCTGGGAAACATCAGGTGTGGGGATATATTTTAGGCTAACCCAGACAGTTCCCCTCAGATTACTCTGGAAGATGTTTTGTCAAGTTTCTATTTCAAATTGCCTTCACTAACATGCCTTGTTTTCTGTAAACTCAAGATAACAGCTCTCAAAATCAAGTATAATCCCTTTGCCAAAGCCTTCCTGGATGCAAAGGAAAGGTAAGTTCATCTTTGTTTTTTTTGATCCAGTGGCTTTTTGCTGCTGATATGGTTAAAACCATGACATTACCACACGAAAGATAAATTACATAACTGAATCTTGTTTCTGCTAAATCCAGAGTCCCTGCAATGGTATTATCCGGGAGACTATATAATTATTACAATAGGTGCTGAAATGGGTGAATGTGCTCTTGGGGATCCTGGCAGTTATGTCTGTCTACATAGAAAGCCTGAAATGAGATCGTGTGAGCTTCCCCAGTAGTGTTATACCCTACATATGTCCATTACAGTGTACTTGCACTTCAGTGAATCCTGTAATTTGATAGGTCAGGGAGAAAAAATGTTAACTCCAAGTGTCCAAAAGCATAGTTGAAGTGAAATTACAGTGTAACTGTAATGTAACTACACTGCTGTTGTTATAAATTATAATTTATATAAAATATATAAATTATCTGTGTGATAATTTATGATGGGTTTATTAAAGGTAAGATGTCAGATATGCTTCCATCAGAAATTAATTGTAGTTTGTCTTGCAAAATTTTCCTTGCATCACCCACTTTAATGCACAGTGGCATCCAAATGATGCATTCCAGCCCATAATTTCTAATTAATTTGGTTTGGACCTGCTTTATCTTCTGACATGTGAAGTGTCCCATGTGTCTGCAGGAGAATCTGTATTTCCTTTCATTCCTCTCACCACTCAAGAAGTTGCTGTGTCTCAGTATGAGGGTTTCCAGCTGGGCAAGGGGGAATGCTGCCTTCAGCTTGCCTGCAAGCAGGAATGGTGCTCACAGGCAGATTTAGAATTCCATATTCAGTTCCCAAATATGGCAAAAAATTAGGAACATTTTTGTTTATGTCATCAAACAAAAGCTCCAGCTTCCTTTATGGCAGAATGTAGGAAGGTCTACTGCTGCCTAGCAAGGTTGAAGAAGCGGGATTTCCCTCCTTTTTCACTCATTCTCCAATTTTTAATGAATAGTTCTGGTTATAACTTTTGTAATTTTTCAGTGAGAACACTTACCTCTAAGTATTTTGCTTTTCAGAAACCATTCTAAGGATGCTCCAGAGACAGTCTCTGAAGGTCAACATATGACATATTCTCACCGTAAGGTTTTTATTTATGTCAACTGCAACTTTTGTGAGATATGATGGGTGCTGGGAACCTGGGCCTTGCTTAACTGGTTCATGCTGGTCACTTACTATGTCCTGAATTATGTTCATAGAGAGGGACCCTTTAAAAAAAACCAAGAAGATTGAAGAGACCTGACAGTAGGAAATAATGTGAGAGGTCCTGCGGAGGGATGATTTCCCATAAATTCCAGTTTTTCAATATTAAAAGTAATCTAGAATCAAGATGATATATGACATTTTTAGGATTTTCTTACCCCTTTTTTTTGTATTTGTGAATGTTTTTATCACTTATAAACTTATCTTTCATGGGTAAACAGGTAAAAAATGAGGAGAGGCAGAAGCTGCATTTGCTTTACTGATAGTTTTTCTTTCATTTGTTCTTTAATGTTTGTGACATTTTCTGGTTGCTTTCAGGACTTGTTTTCAGTGTTGGTGGGTTGGGAGGGGAGTGGAGGGTTGCTATTTTTTTGTCAGTTGTTTCACAAACCAGTATCTTAGCATCTGCTTGGTATTTCTTAGGCACAGCTAATTCTCCAAGAAGGCTGGTTATTTCTGAGTTGTACTGTAGCACTTGAATGGAGCAATACTAATAGTTTTGTTCTCTCTTTTCCATCCAAGTGGGTGGCTGGTTGATTTCCAACCCAGAGCCAATGTGTGCCTCAGGAAGCTCTAATTACCAGTATGGTGGAGCTTTACCTCTGCCCGCTCCACAGGCTCCCCACAGCTGCGAGAGATTCTCGGCCCTGCGAGGCCATCGGGCTGCTCCATACCCACCCTCCTACATGCAGAGGAATCACTCCCCTTCAGGTACTCCTGGAGCACGGCTCTGCTGCGTCTGCCTGCCTGCCCTGTGGCGTAGGTCAGCACAAACCCTGGAGCAAGGCTAAGCTCAGGCCAGTAAAGGGCGTAGTGATTCTTTGCACAGAACCCTTCAGGCAGCCAAAGAAGAGGGACCGGGAACTGGGTGCACTCTTAGTGATAAACCAGAGTGTACGGTCCTGCTTTCACTACAGCTTCCAGTTATACAAAAAGAGCATTGCAGGTCTTCTTTCGATGCCCTGCCATGACACAGTTGAGTTCTCAAGTCAAAGCAGCTCTCAGGTAGGAGCTGAATTGGGGCGAAGGCATTTTGGTATAGTCAGAACCTCCTCTGAGTCCCTTTCCCTTTCTAGATCTGGGTGCAAATCCAGAAACTGATTGTACTTCAGTCAGAACAAGTGGTTAGAAAGCAGAGTAGGGATAAAGTAATCTGCTTGCTAATTATAATTTAGCAAGAATTCCTGTTTAATGGAAATATTTCTCATGGAAGGGTTTGGCTTGAAAGGGATCCCAAAAATCATCCTGTTTCAACCTCCCTGCCATGGGTAAGGGCACCTTCCACTAGACCAGGTTGCCCAAAGCTCCATTCAACCTGGCCTTGAAAATTTCCAGGCATGCGGCAGTATTTATAAAATTTTATTAAGTATTTTAGCTCAAATTATAAGGAAATCTGTATCAAAACATTATCTGATATATGTCAATTATGAAAAAATATTAGTCAGACTTGCAGAAATGCAAATCCTATGTCTGTCATGCTGGGCCTTCTCATGTATCACACCTGGGATTGCAATGGCACCTTGCTACTCTCTAAACAAACACGGGAATTTTGCCTTTTTACCTGTGGTTGGGATTTCTGTCCTATTACCTGTGGTTGGGCACCTCATGATCAGATTGCTGCCTTAAGCCTGTCCATTTTTTGCTGTCTTAAGACATTGTCTGCAATGTCACTGAGGATTTGTTTGTTGCTTTTTTTCCCTCCCCAAAGTTAACTTATTGGACAGCTCCAGCACTAATCTTCAGGTATTCTCAGGACACGATAGCTGGACTTTGCCATCCTCTTCACAGACTAATTTGATCTCAATGCCACACACAAAGGGAGGTGCCAGCCCTGGATCCAGGTAAGGTTACAGGAAAATTGCTGGTATGAGGGGCACTGAGGCTGATAGGACTGTCTTGGTGATTTGCCCTTTGTTCCAAACTTTAATCAGTGTCCAGGATTTGAAATGTGTCCTAAGTGCCCAATTCAAGATTCCTGGGCAAATCTTTCTGACAAGCTTTCTTTCTGCTCTATGGGAGCTTCATTTTTCCCCAGCATTGCTGAAAACCAGGATCTTGGAATACCTACAAAGAATTCTGGACCCTACAATCTGTGAGCATTTTAAAACCAAATTATTCTTCTTCCTGTATTTCTCACTATTATCCTACATGAAATGAGGATCCTATTCTAGTAGTAAATGGAATTTAGATCTAGAGAATCAATTAATTATCAAATCTTTTTCCTTATTTTCCCCAAAAGAATGCAATAATTTCTTCTCTAACTTAGGTGTCAGGAAAATCAGCTGCAATTTCAAATGCAGCGTTATCTGATTGAGTAGATTTTCTTCTCAGTGTTTACACCCTAGTAGCTGGGCAGTGTCCTGAGAGTTTGTGACCTCCCTCTCCAGAAACTCTTCTGACTCTGCTCCTAAGATGGGAAGAAGTCACAGAGGTCCATAAAAAATCCTTACACTTTGAAATCTCACATATACTTGTACATTGCTCCCCATGCCTCCCTCCAGGGTCACCAGGTGATGGCTACTGGTGATTTTTCACTTAAGATCTTTGAGGCTGATCTAGCTTGGTAACCTGATTTGAATAGCTGCCTTTGAACAGATAGTGCAATTGACTTTACTATGCCAAGTCTTATGCAGGCTAAATGCTTTGAAATAAGTCATTCAATCTGTGCTGCTTTTTTTTCCAGCCACTACCCTTGCCTGTGGACAGTGAGCAACAGTGCTGTAAATGCTGCCAACCCAGGAAGCGAGGTGAACAGCAACCCTCCAAGTGTGTTTTTAAGGGGTAATATCCCCTTACCTGCTGCATCATCAGTGCAAATCCCTCTGCAGGGAATGGTGTCTGGCAGCATGGAAGCACAAGGGGAAGGCACTCTCACCAGACTGAGTGACTCTGCATGGACATCCCCACACTCCTTTCAATGGACAGGCAGCTCCTGAGGGAAGCTCAGCCGACCAAGACTGACACAAATGGCAAATGATCCCTTAGGAGTGCAGTGCAGAAATGTATGCAGGAAAAGGACTTCATCAGTTCCCATAATGTACCTTTTGTGTGCCAGCTAAGCCAAAATTCAAAGGCAGGAAATATTATACAAATCAGCTTGTTACTGCAATTCTATGCATCATTCAGGATAAAGTCCAGAAAGAATCTTTTTAGTTAGCTTTGCTTCTATATCATGTTAAAAATGATCAGACATATGAGACTGAGTGAAGCAGACATGGCAGCTGGATACCCGCATGTCATTTTAGAAGTTCCCTCTGTAACTAACAGCCAAGTCCAGGGAAAATTGTGAGCAAGTTTGCAACTGGTCATTTGAAGGGACAGCACTGTTTTAAAGGCTTTCTGAATCTCTTACATAGAGGTTTTCACAATACCTGAAACTAAACCCCTCAGGGGATGAAATTAGTCTGACATCCTAATGCCACCTGCATATTGCAGTCTCGTCCCCTTCCCTTCTCCAGCTGCTGTTTGCTGTGTGTATGCCGTGGGGACAGTGGGCACCCTCAAACTGCTCAAGTGACCACATTGTAGCAGCAGGGTGAAGGGCAGCTAGTTTAGCGTTTAGAGTCTGATGTTACAGTCTTGGAAATGGAAAGCTCCAGTGTTTCAAATATGTGCTATATTTGAAAGGATGGAGGGAAAAGAATTATAGAAAAAATGTTCAGCTTGCATTTCTACTTTGCTTTAGCTATACAGTACAAATAAACTACGAATACATGGTGTAGTATCTCCTCAGTGCCTTTCCAAGGTGTATACACACATCCAATCTTTCTCACCTAACAACCTCTGAGCTATTTAAAGCAGCTCTGCCAGAAGTAAGTTGACAGAAGAGGAATTTCATATTCCTTGTCCAGTTACTGGGTGTAAGCTCTTGGGCATGGTATTTCATGTCTTCACACCTGTTTCCCTTCTCACTTTGTCTGCTTCAGCTTCCTTTTTCAGGCTACTGCTTTTCCCATCCTGCATGAGTGCACAACATTTAGCACAGTGAAATCCTGATCCTGTCTGGGATTTCTAACCACTACTGTGATGCAAACAACAAGAGTCATCCCCCAGTCTTCCTTGTCCTTTCATGTATGTCCTGAGGCAAGTCTTATCAAATTCTCAGAGAGGAGTTTTGCTGTTTGGTCTCTATAAAGAAAAACGAAAGAAATCTGCAAGCTAACTCATGTAGATATGTCCCTGTATAATGAAATTCCCAGCAGCAATTCTGGTCTGTTTAGAGTCATGTGCATTTGTACATGGCTGGCACCATCTCCAGCATAGAAGAAGATTCTCTAAAGCTCCTGTGAGCTGTGGTCTCTGCTTCTGCTAGATACAGCAACATTCCCTTTGTTAATACTCAGTTACTGCATGCAGACTCCGGGAGCAGCATTCTATTTTGGGTAAACATTAGAGGCAGCAGAAAGAGGAGCCTTTTGATACACATCTGTCTGGTGAACTCAGCAAACTTACGTTTGATATTCTATTACCTGGCCCAGAAGCCCCCCCTTAAGTTGCTCTCAGTGTTATGCATTTTCATGCCTTCCCCATCCGGCTTTGCAGATCATCTGCAGGCAAGTTCATGCACCAGAATGTACTCAATAACACTGTTAGCTTTGCTGACTTGTGCTGCAATCCCCTAAGATCAAAGAAATACAGTTGCTTTGGGTTTGCATTTTTATTAACAGTGGCATTGGTCAAACAAGAGTCAATAGAGTGCAAAAAGCTCTGCATCCTGGTCTCAGTCTTATCCTTGTCAGTTCTGACTGCAAATCTGCCTTCTCAAGTTCTGACAAAAGCTTTGTGATGAGTTTGTCAATGTTATGTTTCTCTACCTTGTGGCAAGAAATGTAAATAGGTGTTTCTCTCAAAAATAACTCTGCTTTACAGATGAGGTTTATTAACTAACTTATGCTACCCTCTTCTGGCTGTTCAGCTCCCCACAGACACATCACACACAGAGTCTACATAAAAATGCTAAAAAACAGGCAAGCGGTGACTTCTCTGTGTTCCAGGACTTTAAATGCTTCTTTCATGGTTAATGAATTGGATAATTTCTAATCCCACATTACTGCATTACAGTAATACATGAGTGTTACTCAAACTGCATTTTTATTTCACAAACAAACAATGTAGGGGAACATCTAATTAGCTTTCCTGACAGTCCCATAGGATTGAAAGAATTAAAAAATGATCAAAATGAACATTCAAAGTGGTTTTTCTTTCTTTTCACTGTAAAAGCAGCCATGACTCATGTCACAGGCAAAAAGTTCTGAGATCTCAAAACTCAGCTAAATCTTTTTCATTGCAAAAAATCTGATTTATCACGACCCCAAAAAATGACACAGGAAGATAAAAATACCCTTGGTTTGCTCACTACCCATGCCCCCATCTCAGTACAAGCTGGTATTTGTTGCCCAAAGCCTTGGGCTTCACAATAGCAGGCAGTGTACTGATCTCAGGTTTTGTGTTGGGGGGTCCTGCAAAGGAACAGGCAGTAGGACTCAATCCTGATGGGTTCCTTCCAACGTGAGATCTGTGATTCTGATCTATCTTTTTGCAACTCTGGTGAATTATTTGGGAACTACTCCCTGGTTTGGACAGATTACTTCTAAGCAGCAGGAGCACTGGAGAAAGTTTTTGCTAACTATTCACAAGAAAAACTGCTGTTCTATCTTCACAGCCCTGCTTTCTCAGCACAATGGACTTCCCCACAGCAAAGTAACGGGCTGGGATGCTGGCTACAATGTTCTCCTGTGGGAGGCGGATTCCCTTAAACTGTGTATGAAACTGTTCCTCTCCTAATAAATAATTACTATGGATTTGATTTTGCTTAGTACATCATTACTATGGATTTAGTTTTGCTTTAGTACACTTGTTTCTCAGCAGATTTCTGTTTGACATTAAAACTCATAAAAGGGTAATTTCTGAATGAGTATTTCCCTGGTTGTTGTAAACAGTAACTGAAATGGCAGCATGAAAAGAGAGCAAAGAGCCCTCTCCACAGGTTTTATAAAATCACTTCCTTACTTTGTGGAAAAGAAATATACTAGAAGACTGGAATAGCTCTTTAGAGGTCTCCAGGGTAGATATGCTACCTGGTATTAAAGACAGTTTGTAATTTTTAACCTGATTTGATCATGAAGCCTACATGGTAGGTTTTTGTCCTGCCAGAAGCAATGCTGGGTATATGACTGGTACCTCTCAGACCTCTCCCCAGGACAGCCAAGGTGCCAGGACTTGGGAACACACCTCTATGCAAATCTCCATATTATTAGAGGAAGGAAGCCTTTATTTTCAGTTTTTGCACTTTAGCACTGTACTCACCTATTAAATGTGAGGATGCAGGGTGGTTTTTGTGGCACCTCATTTAAGCATATAACAAAGAAGCGGAGTGTAGGTATACAGTTTGTGGCGATTGGGAGTGGGGCTGTGGCTGAGCCGCATCCCTAATGGGCTACAGCTGTGAAAAGCAGGTGACCAGCATTGAAAGCAACAAGGCATGGAGTGCCCATGTGCACTGACCTATCACGAAAGGGAACAGAGGGCACACACGTGCAATGAATGCAAGATGAAGGGTGTGAAAGGTTGGGCTAAAGAACAAGAAGGGTAGATGCTTGAAGCCTTCTGATGGAGTATGGTGTTACTCTGTATGGGGAAGCTTAAAGCTTTCTGGTATTGTATGGTGATACTCTGTGGATTGTGGCTATCTTGACTGGGATATGTGCTGTGACATGCTGTCATAGTAGAGGGAAGTGGTTAATGAAAGCAGAAGAGCTATAAGGTAAAAAACCTGAGATGTCAGGACAGCCTGGTTGCCTCTGATGCCACAGGTCCTGCCCCAAGGTCTGCAGCTGCCACTGGGCCGCGGTGTCCCTGTCCTGAGAGCCTGCCCTTAAATTTTTCCCAGGGGCTCCAGTGGCCCCTGGATTGGAGGCCTCTCCTTAGCTTTCCTGCCAGCCTGAGGCAGGTGCCTTTTGTCTCAGGCTTTCCCCTCACGGTTTATTTTCCTGGCTCTGGGACATGGGTGTCCCAGTAAGGCAAGGAAGTGCATCTGGCTATGCCCAAGGAAGTGTGGAGCAGGTTTTCTCTCACAGCCCACAGCTCCCCAGACACATCCCTTTGTGAGCCCAAATGGAAGGCTGGTGCCTGCTGCTCTGTGGCGGGTGCGCTCAGCAGCCCATGTGTCCTCGTGCCAAAAAGTCCCTTCTCTCTCCTGTGCTTCACTGTGTCTCTTTGGGAGATGGGCTGCTCTGGCAACACCTCACTCAGGCCAAGAGAAAGGCTTAACATGTGGCTTCAAGTGCTCTCTTCCATGACTCTGGAGTCTTAAGGGAATGCCCCTATGCTCCCTGATAGGCAGAAAACCAGAGAGTGATAAACACCCCTTGCCTGAATTCTCCAGTGTGAGCCCAGATGTTTCCTGTGAGCCAGACCTGAGTGCTCATCAAGACAGACACCAGTGAGTGGCCCTGTCAGTTTAAGCTTAGCTGCTGCTGTTTGTCCACACTGGGTGCTTGGTTCAGCTCTCGGATGTAGCTTTGTTGTGAAGCTGGTTCTGGGTTCACATCCTCGGGCAGATCCTCTGCACAACTCATTTAGGCTCTGTGTTTCTGTTTGTTCTTAAAATAAGCTTGGTAACAACTGCTAATATTTAACCATTTTTATATTTCAGCCATGTATATTGGTTATACAAGTTAAAAATAAACCTTCTACATTTAACTCACTGGTACGGATACACTGTTTCTACCTAATAGTTGTGGCTGTTGTGAGTCATAATCTGGTAGGTCTACAGCAACAAGGAATAACAGTCTTTACCACTGAGATGCTAATGCTTGCTTTGTTGTTTGGAAGTGTCTAATTTTGAGAAGTTGTCAAAACATAAATTGAGTGATTTTAATGGATAGCTCATTTTTTAAATGAAGAATTAATGGGACTAGGGGACGATGTGGATTGTATGGACTGAACACCTACAGTTTTCATAGACTTTCTGTAGGACTTTGTATAAGTTACTAAGCCTCACAGGTCAGGTGCCTGAGCATCTTTTTATTGTCTCAGTGGCAGTGTTGCATCCATCTCAGTTTCTTATCTGAAAACTAGGCATTTTACCTTCCTCTCAACCTCTGTAGTGGAAGACCTCTGAGTAGGAGTTCCTCTTACTGTCCATATATACAGAACTGACAAAATGAGTTCTTGTCTTGCTGGGGCCTTTTGGTGTAGTCTTTCATGTAAAAATTCCATATTCTTGGAGTGTTTATATGTGTATCACCAGCAGAGGAAGAATCAGTAGCACTGCGGTCTTAATACTCTGTGAGTAACACTTAATACTGTGAGTTGTGCTCTGAAGAAGACATCATTGCTGCTGCCAAAACATAAATTGACCCTAAGAAGGAAGTGATGTGTCCAAGTAATCTGCTGTGGGGAGTGATGTCCCTAAAAATGTTTTAGAAATCTGTTTGCCTGGCTGTACATTTGAAGTGAAATTGAGGTAAAACTGTCTTCTGTTGTTCTAGGTTGCTCTGGCAAAAATCAGGGAAGCTTCCATGTAATTCACCTCACCTTTACTTCTGTGACAAGTCTTGTACGGAGGTCAGATGCAGCCCTGTACCAGGACAGACTGCATGTAGGCTTTGTGCATTGCACTGGATGTCACCACCAGGAGTACCAAACACTGTGAGGATGGAGGTGCTCTTGCAGAAAATCTGTTGCAAAAAGTGCTGTTTTACTGGTCAGGTCTGGAATTGGTGTCCCAATGTCACTGTGATCTCTGTGGCTGTAGCCGGCACAATGCTCCTAGAAAAGGAGTGAAGAGTAAAATTCCACAGGCACAGTGTGCTTGCTGGCTGCTGTAGCCTGTACATATTGGATTTTATTATTAGATTGCTTTTCAGAGAGGATGTGGCAAAATACTTTACCATGATTTCTGGTGATGAGGCATCAAAGTGCCTAACTTAAAACACAAAAATACACTGTGACCTTTGCTTTTGACAGATTCCTGGGTTCACTAATTAGCCTTAGTTGTTCTGACCAGCCCCACCTGGAGCCTCCACCCACACTCCTGGAACCTTATTTAAGCTCAGCCTGAGGGTATTAGTTCCTACTTGGGCTATTTTAGGGAGTTATGTGCTCTGACTCTTGAGTTGGTGTTTGACTTCCCTGGCCCTGATGCTTGCTGGGCTGTTGGTAGGATATGTTTTCCATCCCAGTCCTGCTCTGCCTGCTAGGCTCAGCTATGATGGGTTTGTGCCCTGCTGCTGAGAGGCCTGCCTGTGCTGGGGCAGCCCTTTCCTCCCCATCCTCTGCTTCTGCTGCCCCTGGCAGGTTTGTAGAAGTATAATTTCTGTCTCACTTTTATGTAGTCTCTGCTGGTGAATGAGGGGTTCAGCAGGACAGTTTTGAGTGTGTCCTGACCAGTTTCAAATGCATGTGGCTTTGCCTGTATAATAGGTATGACACTTGAACCTGCAAAAGCATGACATTCTTAAAATGTCACTGGTCATGGGGTGTTGGCTTCTGTTGTAGATGCTGCTAAAAGGCCCAAGGGAGGGCCATTGTAGGAAAGTGCTGTTTTAGTGTTCAAGTCTATATTTTGCTTGGTAATGAAGTTGTTCCTCACTTAGATGGTGGCACCTGTGGAGGGCTGGTGCTCTGAGCCAGGTCTCTAGGGGATAAGAGGAAAAAGAGGTATAAACCTGCTTAACATCTCTGTGTTGCCTGTTCTTCTTTGAACTGCCTCTTCAGGCTCTGAACCCTTCTGAAAATGAACATGTATTTTGCTTTGTTTTCAGAAAAACAGTAGGACTTCTCGCCACAAATGTAATGACACATAACTAGAGTGTCTTAAATCTGCATTTATTGATAATGTGGCAAATTGGGTGTGTATGTAAAGAGGTAAAGATTTTTCATGGCCAGTATATGTTGCTGCAATTACTATGAAGGGCTGGTTTTGTCAAATAAAAATTTTCTTTTTGGGAAAGGTCTATTTTCATGGATATAATTGTTTTGGAGAGGTGGAAGTTGCTTAAAATGTTCAGAAGGGGAGCTGTATGATACTATTGTAGCTTAAGCTGACTTTCACTTTGGATTTCAGAATTGTTATGGCTTAAAAAATTAGCAAGAGAAACTTAC